TCTTTCTCTCTCTTTGTTGTTGTCCTAAATGCTAGTGTAAATGTAATTTATCTGAGGTACCAGAAAAATACACTATTCGAGGTTTTGGCCAAAATAAAATGCCATTATTTCGGAAAAATAACCCAAAAGAACCCTCATTTACCCAATATTTTAGTCAAAAATCAAATTTTTCATTTTCTGTGTTTTGTCTTTTCTGCGTTTTGTCTTTCTGTGTTTTTTCTGCGTTTTGTCTTTCTGTGTTTTTTTTCTGCGTTTTTTTTTCTGCGTTTTGTCTTTCTGCGTTTTTTTTTCTGCGTTTTGTCTTTCTGCGTTTTTTTTTCTGCGTTTTTTTTTCTGCGTTTTTTTTCTGTGTTTTTTTTTCTGCGTTTTGGCGTTTCTGCGTTTTTATTTTCTGCGTTTTATCCGGATACCGTGTTTCATATAGTGTTGTGGTCGCAAAGCCAAACACGAATACGGCTGAAGAGGGTAAAAAGAGTGGTGTGGGTGGTGCAGTTGGCGGCGCAGGTATCGGTGTTGGAATTGATTGGATAACAAAATCAATCGCGAACTCAAATGCGTGCAGCGAGAAAGCCGGTTGTCACAAAAGCTATTGTTGGGCATGGTGCGGTGTCAGTCTCACAGGTAGGATGATTTTAAATCGTTACATGTTGACTTGAATGCCTTCAATGAACTGAAATCAATTGAACTTAATACAGGTGGAGAATGGTGCTACACGACTCGATCATATTCACAAAGTTTCCAATATGTCACATGTAACCAAGATTCTGACTGTGATAAATGTTGGAAATGCGCTGGATCGTGCACACTTTAAATGTGGACGCCGAAAACAAAAAGTTACGAAAAAGGTTCATAAGTTTTCGTTCGGAAATGCAATGCGGTTCGATTTTTCATGCATTCAATTTAAAGTTTTGTTTAATGTAATCTTTTGTGAATGATTTTGATTTTGTTGAATAAATCGATTGGAAATTTAATGGTTTTAATTAAAACTTGAGCCTTTGAAAAACTTTCTTGTTTCCAAGAAGCACGACTTAACTATAATTAATTCCTAGAATTGTATCATCACATTCTATTTGCCTCAACTTATCTACCGAATAACATGCGATAACGAGGTGAGTAATGCACTCATTTTATGGTTCGATTTTTGATAAATTAGGATCGGATCAAAGGGCGAATTACTACTGAAAAATTGAATTCAGTACTTTTCAGTGGTTTTCAGTACTTTCAGTACCCAATGTATATGTATAACACATCGGTCAATAAGTCCCGAGCCTAACCACCAAGTGGCAACACTAATGTCAAACCCATATCATTTTCGAAAACTACAACCTTTTTTAGGAATCCAGTCAAAATTTGAGCCAAATCCGACCATCAGTTCGCTAATTACAGCACTTTAAATGAAGCAATTTTCCAATTTTCCAAAATCATGGAAAAACTGCATTTCTCCTCTCGATTTGACACATGTATTCCAGAAGAAAAACGAGCAGGAGTACCAAACCCATACTATGATTAGTTTATGGCATCCTTAGGCTTTCGAAATCAATCATTAGATATGGAAGAATTGAATTTATGCATAGCCATAAGAGCGATTTTGTCGATAAGCCTCCAAATTGTTCAAAATATGTGGTTTTGGAAGAAATCATTGCCAAAATCCGTTAAGTGATATCGGAATTCTCAAATGTGATAGTTCATAGATTTGCTAAGGCCATAGGGCAACTAACTCAAGCTATAGTTACAACTTTGCATGGATATATGCATATGAAATACTCAATCGAAAAAGCCTTGCCGCGTTTTTGGATATGGAGTAGATAGAACAGTTTTTTGGGGATTCGAAGCCCGTTTGGAGCTGTATAAGTAAAATTTGAATAGGGTTTTGCCTTTATATATTAGAATTAATGTATTTTGAGTTCATTTGAATAGATTCGATCTATAAATTGCGGGTAGAAATCGCCAAAAACGGTTTGTAGCGACCAAGGTCGCAAAATATGAGTTCGGGCATTATTAGTGGATTTAGGTATAGAAAAATATTCGCGAACCAGTGGGAAAGATATAAAACAACATGAAAAGTCACTTATGCATCATTTTAGACCTATCCGAATGTCAAATCTTGATAAAACATAGCAAATTTGGCGAAGAAAACTATGTTGTTCAAATGCGAGTTTCATCCAGGTCAAAGAACTGTTTATATGGTGATATAATTGAACGAAATTGGTTTCAAACTGCTTCACTAACCATTGTATTTTTTAGGTCTGGTCATTCTCTGAACTCTCCACATGAATATACTTGAATACAATGCATCAGAAGAAAGTTATACCGTTTTAACGGCAAAATTGAAGCATTTTCGGGAGTCTTTCTCTCGTATAGCTGTAACTAGCAAACTGATGGTCGGATTTGGCTCAAATTTTGACTGGATTCCTAAAAAAGGTTGTAGTTTTCGAAAATGATATGAGTTTGACATTAGTGTTGCCACTTGGTGGTTAGGCTCGGGACTTATTGACCGATGTGTTAAGTATATGAAAGTACTGAAAATGTCATTAATTTTCGAGGAGAAAAATGAATAGTTGGCAGATCTGTCAAAACAAATTTCAACTGTCAAAAATCCCGATCTATTTTAATACTGAAAAACACTGAAAAGTACTGAAAATATTTTTCAGTTCTTTTCAGTACTTTTCAGTTGTTTTCAGTGGATTTCAGTGCTTTCAGTAGTAATTTGCCCCTTGGATTGGATTGTAATCATCGATATT